AGAAAGGGAATTTCGTCACGTGCATAAACATATATATACGACACTCGATTGTTTAACTGAATCCTTTACGTTACCGACTTTTTTATTAGTAGTGGGTGGAAAGCGAATGCAGATGGGTTGAACTTCTTTCTTCCTTTTGAATTAATGGGGGAAGAAATCATACTATTTAAAATATGACGTCACTTCCTGTTATATTTTATATAATACACGTGTGAAACATCTACTGTTTAATATTTAATAATTACATGGTCGTGTAGCTGTGGCTTTTTGCTATTTAAAACCTATAAAATAAACACATTCGTTTATGATTTTAATTCTTTATAAATTATTGTCAATAATGACAGGGTGCATGGTTTAATAAATTGTGACGTATTGCAAGTTTGAAGAACCTGACTGTGTAATTTTCATATCATGGGCGTTTGAAAAGTAGGCACAACAATTGTTGCTTCATTAAATTTTATTGTCGGTTTTATGCTCGCTTCCCACTTAATACAGACAGCTTTCTGTTAAGGTAGACGAAATAAAACAATTAAATTAATTCTGTTCAAATATCGCTTTAAGTAGCTTACATCATTGAAAATACCGTTATCAAATTTTGGACTTCAACAGCGGCTTCCAGCACCACGTGACATAATAATCACGTGACGTAATAATGAGTCAATGATTGTTTGACATGGTGAACTACTAGACTTATCAATAATGATAATTGATTTGTAAATATCGGAATTAGGGAATTTATGGATAAATTTGGATGTCACACTTGAATGTGCCAAGTTTGTAACAGGCGATAAATACGTCGCAGAAAATGCCGATTTGGTGACGTCAACTTTTTAATCGCAATATACATTTGACTGAAATTTCTTAACTTTGACTAAGTAAATCAAAATGCATGAACAATTTCAGGACAAATCATTTTCTTATTATTCTAATGTTAAATCAACAAACAAGCAAAATAAACAATTTTCATGCATTATAATGTTGATAAGTTTGCTGGGTTATATATACAAACAACCGTTTATATACGGCTATATAATCTGTTAAACATATTAATAACTAAAAATATACATAAATATATGTCAAAGACTCAATATGTTTATATTAAAGAAGCTCCACTGACGTTAAATAGCTAAATTACATTACCTTTTTTCTTGATTGAATGATGTGAAAATTTGCACAACATTTAAAACATATATTATAAACATATGCAAGAAACATCAGCTATAAGAAGAAGAAAAAGGAAATGTATCAAATTATAATATTTTATGTTGAAAATTCAAAATTGGGTAAAATTAATGGCCATACGATTATAGTTGAAAGAACTTATGTTTGTTGAATTTACAGAGAAAAAAATAAACCGGCACCATTTTCAACGCATGCGCAATAAAGGATGATGTAATGCAGAGGTTATACTGTATATCAATTTATTGTTGCCTTTAATGCGCAGGTGCGTCTGTAGCCGAATTGTTACGGTCGTTGACTTTAATTCACACCCCACACCCACCGCTATGGGTTCGAATCCCGCGCGAGTCATTTTGGATTCTTTCATGAGTAAGGAAGCTATCTTATCATTCTTGCCAGAAATAATGCTTGGAGGGGCAAGTGAGGTCTTTTTCTAGCAGTAAACGTGGAAACGGTGGAAACTCACCAAGTGGCCTTTACAGAGTTGGTGCGATGTAATACTCGCCAATATGCTGTTATTCTTATTCAAGTTATACATGCAGATAGTTCCCGATTTTACAATATTTATATACTTCCCTTGCCAAAAGTGGCAGCGTTTTTGGGATCAATATTCTAGGTAAATACATGTATTGCAAATTTGTAATTGACCAAATATAAAGAAAAAATTCAAGAGCTAATTTACGTGACTTGTAAAATTCTATTATTCACATTAAGCATCATATTATTATGACACCAATACGTTATAAATCTATGAAAATAACATAATAATTAGAGATTTTTATCCTATCTTAATTGGGAATTACGCGGCCACGGGAGTGAATAATTGGTATGTGAAAAGCATCTATACCATGTTCGTGAAGAACTTTACGTATTTTATCGTCCATATTTGACAACAACTGCGTGGCAAACATTGACATAAAACTTGCCAATAATATGCAACGTACAACCAAAAGCACCAGACAAAAATGTCGACGCTTAAAGCTATATGTACTCTTTATTTTTCGCTTTTCATCGATTACAGCACATACAACAACATTTCTATACTGCTTGACTAAAACAGTAAATGCTATTTTTGCATATTTTGGCCCAATTTGGGTAATTTATGTGAATTGTATGCGCCGTTTTTGCAATGTGCAAATTAATAAATTTGACACTATTTTACGTTTAAATACATTTTCAGAATTGTCATGAAATTTTACATGAATCTGCAGGCGTGCTGCTTTAACAGTCAATTAATATATTTGTTTATTTAAATATACTCTTCAAAGTTTGTACATAGATTGACACGTGTTTACCAGTTTGGTACTCCTGTTTATAACTTTCAATATGGAAGTTGTTACAAACTAAGAAGTCCGTTTGAAAACTAGATAATTGGAACGGCAAAACACGGGATATAGTCCAATTTACACACTCAAATATATTGACAATTTCTAGCACACTTTGTCAAATTGACGTTATTTATCACGAATTGATTGTAGATTTCTATAAAATATATCAAGCCACTCAAAATTCTTGATATAATGTGTTTTACAAACAGAGGTCAATAAAGAATTCAAGAATGATATTTTTGTTGTGCAAAATAACCCAAAAAACTGACAATCGTTTTTGATTTTGAATAAAATATGACTGATTATCGCACTAAAAATCAATTTCCAATGTAGGTAGGAAAATATTGTTGACTTTGTAATTTATCTTTCGCACATTTTCCGTTCTAATTGCTCCCAGTAAGAATCTTTGTAAGAATTTCCGGTTGTATGTTATACGCCGTGGAACTCTGGGGTTCATTTGTAGGCACATGCACATAAAGCCCTTGAAATACTAGTTTTTTTTTATTTCTCAAAACCTTTTTATTTTTGGTACCCTATCACAGTTTCGAAAAAAAATATTTATTTACCACATAGATAAACTATCTGGCGCTTCCTTTTCTCTGTGACAATCCGTACAATTTTAGTAAGTATTTTGATACTACTTTGTTTACATTAGATGAATTTACAACACATTTCCGCACATTCAACGCCACTTTCTGCAGCGGTTTCATCATTTTTATCTAAGATTCGTTATCAAAATATTATTAAATTAAATTACACATATCTAACCTTTGTAAAGAATTTTTATTGATTTCTGAGGCATAATGTGCCTTTAAACAGTCGTGCCGCGTGGCTTGACTTGGGAATGCAACATGTACTTCTTGCTACTGAAGGGATGAGTTTGGGAGGAGTGTACCATACCCTCAAATTAACGGAAAAAATGAAACCTTAGATAAAAAAAACGGGCTCCCTAATCATTACACTAACCACGTATTTTTTGGTCCGTAAAATATTTACAATTTCAGCTGAGTAGACATAAAAGCGGGTAGATGGGCGTTGTCGTATTTAGAGAATGTTACCCGGGAAATCAGCATGTCTGCAATATATTACGCCCGAGCGGTTATCAATCTTCCGTAGTGTACTTATCCGAAGATTGACGGGAAAAGCCGAAAAGATGCGATTTCGTATAAGGAATTAACTTAACACCCTACGAGAAATTTAAAACTTTTGATATTGCTGGGTGGTAGTTATGAATAATTTCAGTAGACTAATCAAAAGTATACAGTGACGATGTGGCCTAAAACAGTCCATGCCACAATATATGTGCTCCGAAAATCTGAATTTCAATGCGATTTTTGTTGGTTATTTGTATGTCAATGAGAATCATAATTATTTAAGTAGAATTTCACTTTTTGCAAATTTAGTGGAGTCATTTATCAACGTTCTACATGTAATCCAAGCCTCTTTGTGAATGATTCATTCTCTCCAAAAATGTGCCTTAAATTTCTAACGATTGTATAAAAACACGCGAGCCGCTATTGTTCCGAATATATGTACGGCTTTTATTCTAAACAACCCTTTATGTCGTATTTTAGAAAAAGAATAAGACAATTTTTTTCACTATCTCCCCGTTATTTATAGTTTTATCTTTACATCTTTTATCTGCCACTTTCTTTACTATTGTTATAATCTTGATCTATTGTCCCAGTGACTTACACCGCCGCACGCGCGCGTTGTTTTACCTTCTAAACAATTGACTGTACATTTTGTGTATTAACCCGATTTTACGCTCAATTTCCGCCATTGTTTTAAAAAGCAAAACGAGACTTTTTCGTCTATGGTCACTTTACTTCGCTTGTTTCAAAATACTAGCTCAATCAACTCAATTGAGCTCGATACCTAGAATTCAAAAAGAGATATTATATGTGTGGAATACTCACAAGCAAGGTTGTGGGAGTTATTAGTTCAACGAACCAATCCAAAACGATCCTAAATCCAAGTTAAAAAAATGACACTTAGTCTGACTTTTCTATGTATTAGATGTAACACAGTCTCTTATAGTTAGAGGAAAAAAAACTTGCGACAGAACTGTTACATCGCAAAGAGAGCTAGAGGATCGCGCAGGTACAACTAACAGAAAAAAAATACATCAAATAATTAGACATCAAGACTTTCATGACTGCGATATTATATTCGAGTCTGGCCGTTTTTCTGGATCAGATGGACGTGTAATAATCCGAGGCCAAACTTCTTTAAAGACGGAAGAATGATTAATATCGTATGGCTACAAAACTGACTGACGTTTAAACCAAACACTGTGAGAGGCCACGGTGTCTAACCGTACTCTGTACCAGAGGGGCGTCTTTAGGCCACGGTGTCCAACGTTCTCTGTGTGAGAAGGACGTCTAATACATTTTTATATACACGTGTTGTCATATTAATCTTCTAGGTCGTGTTTCCACCACATTGGTGAAATAAGATATATGTTTAAATAATATGAACTCAACAAAGTCATTCTCATAAAAATTTCTTTTATTTTTGTAAAAATTTCAGTTTCAAAATCAAATAAATTCTCGTAAATCGAGACAGGAATAAAGTTATAAATACTTTAAATAAAACAAACAATCAACAATCAAACGAACGCACGTTCAACAATACAAACAGACAGACGCATGTACGCACAGAGGATAAATAAGGGGGTCCTTGGACGGTAAGGATAAGGGATATAATCGTTTCGTTTCAAACGAAAAGATAATCTAAAACATAATACATTGTAAGTCAACGACAAAACTCAAACAAATCTTTCAGAAAGTTCTAAACGAAATATTCGAATTTTGGCGCCGATTTACAACATGCATGTGTTTTTACTCACTAAGTGTCTACATTAAACTGTGGTTAAACTAGAATTTAATAAACAAACCACTATAAGAGTAATATTCAACTATTTTAACTACATTTGTGTCCACAGCACGCGGCGTCTTTTTTTTAACAATCGAATTTGAAATATAACTGACAAATCTGACAAGTTGTTTTCTCAGAAGCCTAAAAATGATACTGCAAACTCCTTTGCATTACTAGCCTAAAATGACAATACCCTTTATATAGAGGTTGACAAATATCATGTAGATCTGGTTTAAGATGGATTTAGTTTTATCTTTTATTAATTATTTTCCGTTTTGTTTTCACACTTGCACGAGTTTAACGAAATAGATTTTTGCGATAGGGTCAACTTCTGCCAGTTATATTACAAATACAGTTAAAATCTTTTTAAAATCTAATAAATATTAAATAATCTATATATAAAAACAATAATAATTTAAGAGTAAAATAAATACGCTAAATAAAGGAATGTTAAAGGTAAATAGGTTAACACAAAATAAGGGAAAATCACAGCAAAGGAGGGTTAAAAAACAGGGATTAAAGGTAAATCAATCACAAGGAATCTAACAGTGTCTGTGCACTCAAATTTCTATATTTGCTAGCAACTCTTTTGAAATTCTGATTATATTATCTAAGTATTTAATCATTTATTTTAATAAAAGTCAAGAACAATAACTCTCATATGAATAAAGATACCGTCTAATTCTAATTACTAACCTTTAGAGTAACAAGGCAAAAAAGATAAATTTGTAACATTAAAGAGTCTAATTATTCAATGTTAACAGTAAAGAAAATTAAGAACTTTAACTCTTGTAATCACAATTAAGTATCTGATCTATTAACTAACTGAAAAATGAGAAGATAACTAGTCATAGTAACGTAAAAAACAGGAGGAACCAGTAACAGAAATTCAGCATTGTTATTGGCTATTCCAGAGTTCTATCTTGTAATGACCAATAGGATCGTTTCAATTCAGGCACTGGTTCCCAAACTCAAGTTATTATCTATAAACATATAGGAGAGTAAAACACTTAATTGTTTCTGAACACATTGTTGTTTAAAGGAACACTTTAAGGCGTGGAATGATGTGAATATTTATCTCTTAAGAAAAGAGACTACGAGGTAAAACAAACTATATGATAAATATATAGGTCCCTGTGCTTCTGTTTTAAACATCACAGTAAGAATCACAGCATAAATCATACAATATTGCCACTAGGTGGCGGTAGTCTGGAGAAAAATACAAAATTATCTCCCTTTTACAATATACAATGTATAGCGTCATTTTGGATAGATACAAAATTATCTCCCTTTTTCAATATTGTACAACACGTAAAGCGTGCTTTTTATCAGAGACATGATGTTGTTGCTGGTTTTTATTATTAAACAATCTGGACGGATATTGTTTCGTTTTTATAATACTTTAGTCGCTGCATTGCTTCAATAAATAGTAATAAATAGATGATGTAATTGACATCTGATGAAATGTTAAAATGAGCAAACTCGTCGACAACACGGTTCCAGCACTTATGTCACTTATGTCACAAAATACCCGGATGTTCTAGCATTTATGCTCACAAAATGCCCGGATGTTCTAGCATTTATGCTCACAAAATGCCCGGATGTTCTTCAGCACGTCCATTGAGTCTTTCATGACTTCGTTCGTCTGTATCAGCTCGCGTCTGAATTGTTCAAATCCACGAGGTGATGCGTCTATTCTACGTACTGATCTGTACGCACTTTCCGCCATTTCTAAGAACTGCCTCTCCATGATTGCGCATGTGCAGTTAACTCGCTTCTTAAATTCCGTTTCCGGGTTACTAAGTTTATTTCTGACCATTGTTATATCAGATTCAAGCTGCTGGAGGTAACGATATCCCATTTCTCTTTCTAAATCTGAAATATAAAACACAAAACGTTCTGTAAAATCTCAAAGTCTGAAAACGATAGTATTTATATCATAATGCAAAAAAAATATCAGCAAATTGTTATTATAGTAGATTATTGTTGTACATTTGCATTGTTAAAATCACGTTTATTAAAAAAAGACACATTGCCTATGAATAAAACTTTCTGTGTTATATCGAAGTATTGAGATCCTATAACTAGAAGGGTCACTAAAGGATTCGGGCCATAAAAAATGAGGGAAAAGAAAATACTTACCGCATTTCAATCTCTTTGGAGTAGAAACATATTCGTCGTCAACGTCAATACGACGCTTAGCTCTGAATCGCTCAGGCTCATAATATGATGAACTTAAGCTTCTACACGATGGAGATCTGAGGTAGTGAGGTACTTCCGGTTCTTCTTCGTCACGTGACAAAAGTTCTCGTTCACGTGAAGGCAGTTGCCTTGGAGACAGATAGGCATCTCTATGACGATGACTTGGTGATAAATGATTACTTAGGTACCCGGATGAAAGGCTATCAGACGATACTGGCACTTGCGAATCTGCGAGAAAAAAATAGATCATGACATAAAATGAACACTTGACCTCTGAATGACCCATGAATATGTCTGCAAGCAGAACTAGATCATATTCATAATTTCTTCTATGCTTCATGACATGTTCGATTGTTGCATGAAACCCAGGCAGAAAATATGCAACTGTTTATGAAATGCATGTTAAAAACCAAGCAACAGTCTGATCGAATTTGTATTTATGAAAAACATATCCATGAAGATATGAAAACTTAAATATTTCTAATATGATTTTTTTTGCTCTCGGATTGAAGAAAGTCCGAAGTTCAGAAGATATACTAACTGAGCTTAATTAACATCAGCTTTTACGACATCCTATTTAAACGTTTTCGACAATGTAAATAATGATCACGTGTCATTTATTGGTTTTTGTTGTGTATATATTTGGGAGTGCTATTTACTTACTCATCGCCATTTCTTCGAATAATCGCTTCTTTACCCGTCTTGTCTCCGAATCTATCTCGGCTCTGTACATTTCCGTTCTTTCCGGAGAAAAGTTAAATATGTTTGAGTTTGTATGAACAGATGGAGATATCGGTACCATTGGTGACCTTGACCTAAGATCAGGTGACCTTGACACAATTGCTGGCGATGGCGGCGACCTCGAGTAGGACCTTTCAGCAATCATCCAGTCGGATTTATCACAAAGTAAAGAACTAGAGTTCGACCGGTGCAAATCTGTGCTCAAATTTTGCAACCGTTTTGAATATTCACTATGCACTTTTTGTGGAGTTCGGAACGTCACTTCCGTTGAATGTGTTTGATTTTGTTTGACTGGTTCTTGTTTATCATAATGTATTTGTATATCGGGCATATTTGGTATCACACTTTTCACTATTTCAACTGGTACATTAGGTTCAATTCGGGTCCTTTGGTCTCCATCAGTATTATCGTTCTTTTCTGCTGCTTTTAGTTCTTCCTCGGATATTATCGTTGCTGGAATACTCCAAGTTTTCCGAAACGGTTCCTCGGTGGGAATATGTCGCATTACTTTAGTTTCCATCTTGTTACCAGTCTCGATTTTATTTTAGGGTCTGAAAATAAAATTAAAAGTGTACATGACTGCTCTAAAATTTGCAACGAATTCTAAACCCTAAAAAGGTAGTTAACACAAAATGTATGATCAGAGGATTTACCTGTTTTAAAGCATTTGCATTTATTACATTCCTATTTTTGTTATTTGAAGACAATTTTAGATTGCAGCGTTATATCGGGTATCATAAGTAGCTATAATTCAGCATATCACATTCATATTGACATAATTGTTCCCCAATCGTATTCGCAGACGTTACACTTTGCATTCTTTAATTGAGAAAAAAATGTATTTCAATTCAATAGACAACATGTTCACACACTCCGTGAATTGAAATCATTTGTCCAGGTTTGCAAACACTTCATTTTAAGATAAAACCTGGGATTTTAACGAAACCCGTTTTGGAGTGTCCGTGCAAATAACTCGAACATGTCAAAAGAAATGGTTTCCAAAGTAAAATTTATCTCCATATTATTTCAAAGTAGGTTTTTGAAATTTTGATAAATTATCGCTGGGTCATGTAAAATTGTGTTTGCATAATGTTTTATCGTATAAAAATAGGAGATAAGATTTACTGGTATGTTTTAAGAACAGATCGATAACTGCGTCGGGTATTTTTCATTGAAATCGGTCCCTTAAAAGAAATTTGTCCGTCTTGCAAATCTTAAAGTATACATTTCTTTCGTTTGTTGTATGTTTAAATACAATTTATCACTTCTTGCAATATCTGCAAATAATACGTGTATATCGTATCAGCGTGTGTAAACAAGATATATCACGTTTTTGTTATCCTGTATAACGGAGGTTACAAACTATTACGTAACGTACATTACACATTAAATAATCGCAAATATAAACATAAATATTACGTTTAAATGCTAATTATGAAGAAGGATTACTAGCTAAAGTCGCCGGCTTTCATCTCTGTTGTTATCTACATGTTAAGCTTATTTCACAACGACCTGTTGATTAAAGAAATTGTCGTCGTCTGCGTTATGTATTGAATTTCGTTTTACATCTCCATTATCTTCAATAAAGCCCTATGCGTTAATCAATTTTACACAGCTATTATTGAACTAAATGAACGTTATAAGTCATCGAAATATTTGTACAAATGTATTTGTGACAATGAAAAAATTGTGATATAAAGGATGATTATTATCATCATCACCTTCATAATCATCACAACCATGATGATGATGATCATCATCATCATCATCATCATCAACAACAACAACAACAACAACAACAACACCAACAACAACAACATTAATATCTTCATCAACAAAAACAACAACATTCTCATTATCATCATTACCATCATCATCAACAGCAACAACAACAACAACAACAAACCATTATTATATTCATCATCATCATGAATATTATAATTATCATAATCATCATCAACAACAACAAGAACAACAACAACATCATCTTAATTATCGTCATCATGACTAGTTATTGTTTTCATCATCATCATCATCATCATCATCGTCACCATTATCATTATTATAATCATTATCATTATCGTCGTCTTCATTATTATTATCGTTATCATTACTAATTCCATTCAAGCCCTCCTTTTTAAGTCTACCGGTCTTGTAATTGATCGTATAATGACTACGTCTTGCGATGTTAAGACATGTCCTGTAAGCTTCATTAATTTACATATAAATCAAGACTTTAACTGATAGATCTTAATCAAATACACTCAAAGGCATGTTCGATTAATTCTTGCACCTTAATTTCAATTTAATATGAATCAAATTATCCAACCAATTTAGTGTTTCAAGTTGGAAATTATCTTATCTAGTTTCAATAACACGTCGATTTGTTTAATTAGAAAAATGCGAGACTTCAATGCATATGTTGGATCGTTAAATAAAAAATCCGGTTATTTTTGAAAAAAAAACACTGTATCTCGATTTTAAATACATACATGCATTTTAGAATCCGCGCACACGTCTAAATATATCAATGCCGCATGCGCATAATGCAATTAAATTTTGTCAAAAACTATCACGTCGGAATATGTTCTGCTAATTATAATAATCACCGGCACGCATACTGTATACTTAAACTTAACTTTAACACACTTAAACTTAAACTTAACTTTAACCCCCTCCCCACAAACACACCTCTCTTCCTTGCCTTAAAAATTAGTAAACTAATAAATAGTAAGATAAAAATGATACACTAAATAAGTACAAAATGTAGAAAATACATAAAAAATAATAAATGACTGAATTCTTATTGAAATATATTCTAGATACATGCGGCATGCTTATTAATGAAGATAACACATTTGTAAACTGGTAAAAGTCAAATACAAATGGACTGTTTTGTTCTGTTCTGTTCTGTTCAATTACCCAAATAATGCAAAATGAAAGTAAATAAATCAATATAATTTTCAAACATTATTTGATACAGGCTTTATAACTGTATAAAAGCCATTATTATATATTTGCATCTACCGTGATTGCAATACAAAGTCATGCGTTATTGATAATTGATATATTATTGCAAATATAATTGTATCATTGCAACTTCCGTGATTGCAATACAAAAGTTATGCATTATTAAAATATATTGCAACGGTATTTTGAGTTTTTCTTTCAAAGATCAGTCAAACTTGAAAAACGGTTTTACCGACAATTTGTAAAATTTACAATATGAATTGATAATTATTATATTTTTTTTATTTAAAACAGTAAGCTATTTCTTATAATTGATATTGAAGAATATATTTATTGATACTTACAACTAGTGTTTAAATTGTAGCCATGTTTGTTTTAAATCCATTTTTTTCCAACAATTTTTCCCCGATATAAATTGGCACCGTGTTAGCTCTTCAAAAATCCCGTTAGTTCTGACTTGTCAAAAATTCTAAAATCGTTTAAGTTTAGACATAACCCGGACTGGTTAACGCTTCGATAACTTTGAGGTAAATTTTGTAACCCGATAACCCGTCCATATTCCACTAGAATACCGTTAACTTATCCGTTATAAAATGGGTTTAAGTCAACGGGGTTTTTCAATGCTTTTATTATTTCTTTTCATATAAAGGAATGCAGTTAATCATTTAACGTATCGAAACCTGTCAATTTAAACCGCAAACGTGGGAACCGTTCTATTCTAAACTCTGATTGGCTTATGATTAGCAGACGATAAGAAACATCGAGTTTGATTGGTCTGTCGGCAGATTAGGGCGGGATTTAACGTATACCCTTGTATCTGGGCGTTTGTGGCCCTTTTTAGGACTGATTTAAAACTACTTAACGGTTTTGCTGAAGTAATGCTTATCGAATTTCATAAAGTAGAAGAGAACATGTGCGTACACGTTTGTAAATGTCTTAAGATTTTTGTAAACATTAATTTTTTATTAAAATTCGTTTATCTTTTTTTCTTTTGCATTTTCGAAAAAAAAAGAAGATATTTTGAAATATTCATAGATTGCCTTGGAAAGTGCTGATTCATTTATCTAAACAATCAGGTATAAATATTTTGTCGGCAGAAAATATGATAGCTCACAAATAGTTGTTTTAAAAAAAGTTGTTATCAAAAATTCCAATTTTAAAATTGATATAAATGAAAAAAACATTATCGGTAATACCCAATTAAAATTAAATTCCTAGCGTTTAAAATAGAGCGTTTTTCTAGTAGATAACGCTGAAATTTTACAAGTATTATTAATCCATGTGCAAATATTTATGTTTTGAATATGTTAATCCGGGGTAGTGATGTTTTCATATTAAATTGCTTTTTGTAACGGAAAGCTTCTTCTCTTACGAACAATAAGTTACGGTGACATTTTTAAGGTCATTTATGGAAAACTGTCATCTTTACTTAACCCAACATCAGTCCCGGCCAAAAATGCATTCTTCAAGTAAAACCACAATGAAAACAAAATTAAAATTAAAGTTAAAAAAGGCTGAGGGGTATTTATGTTTATATTTATGCACGACACAAGGGCATGATTTTTCCTTGTAGGGATTCCACATTTTTTTTAACATGAATAGACTGAAAATTTATTATTTTTCCTTAAAGGGACTCCAATGAGGGTTGATTTGACATGACGAGACTGAAAATATTTTCACGATATTTGTGAACCATTTGATGGAGGTCTTGAAACATTAATTTGATGGAGGTCTTGAACCATTTGATGCAGGTCTTTAGTCATTTGATGCAGGTCTTGGCCAAGAACTTGTGTGCATATTTTAAGATCATTCCATCACCCTGTTTTTAAAGAATAATCACATGTGTTGTCCAAAATGACCCAAACATGAAAACCGTCGCAATGTTTTTCATTCGGAGCTGGCCAGGAAGCGCATAAAAGTTCGATATTTTATTAAGTTCTGTGTACTTTTTCGACATTATATCAATTGCAGATTTTTCTATTTTATTTGTGCTTCACTTAATCATTCTGTGTGCGAATTTCAATTTATATTTTTTTAAGCAGGGATGTTTTTGGCTTATTATATAGCTGATATTCGGTCATATTCCCAATTGAAAATAGTATATTATTTTACCAATCCACAGGAAAAAATTCACAATTTAAAATTATAAAATAAAAATATTGAATAACAAATTCTAAAATCTTTGAAAACAAGGACTTCTTCACTGTTATGGTGCTTAAATGTTTGAAGATACCTTCCTACACAGTGATTCTTTGCATTTAATTTTTAATCAGTGCAAAATTTAAGTCATGCATTTTCCCCCGAATTTTTAACAAAACATACCTGAAATTCCCAATTCCGCGGGTACGGGTCATGTTCCCAAAATCCTTGGGGAAAAACCCCGAGGCTTTCTGACCTCAGTGGAGCACCTTTAAAAGTCTCGGGCGAACAACAGTATTGTATACTCTATATACTTCCAACTTCCCTTCGTGGCGTGCACGTCGTTCGGAAGGCATAGGTCACACCAGATGGGTGACCTAGTTAGGTCACTTAGCTGGTGTGACCTAACCAACGGTGAAGGGTGTGGTCCTACAAAGAGCTGCTGCTCCGGGAAGAGGTGCCTTTCCTCTATATTGTCAACTGCGTTCAAGAACTGGGTCTTAGAGAAGATCTACGACGAAAGACGAACGTCATCCGTTGCAGGCTCTACGACCAGCGACGTAACAGAGGCAGATAGTCTGGGACATATGGCAAAGCCGGCACCCAGTATAAACAACAGTAAACACCCACACAATATTGTGTTGTGTACATAATTTTTAAGAACAGAACATTAAAATGCTTTGCGTGTCTACATGTCTTTATCTATTGTCATGAATACAAGTCTCAAATAACACGTCTATTCTATTCTGTTCTGCTCTGTTTTATTCTGTGTTATTTATTTATTTCTCTTTTTAAGTCAGAACAGAATTTCGTGTGGGGAGGGGAGAGATGCTGCTTTATTGCCTTCACCTCCATCTAATATAAGTGTGTTAGAAATGGCGCATCTTTAATACGGTTCTTTATTGCATAAATTAAATGGCATCTTCTAACATTGTTGTGTCTGACTTGCATTTTAAATATTCAAGACACGCTTAAGAATTAATTTTAAAACAGATAATAAATACTCCTACCACCCAAAATGCCACTATCTCGCGTAACGCCATATTACTTATTTAACAAGTCCCACAACGACATGACAAAATTTATTAGCATTCACGTTTTAGTCATAACCCCTGCACCCTTGGTATCAGCTACCCGAAAAAATAAATAATGCAAATTTACATTTTAAAATCATACACACTGTACAATCCCTTTTACGAGAGAGCAAAAAAAAAAAAAAAAAAAAACTTCATTAAAATGTTGTCATTATATCTTAACAAAAACATAAATAAATTTCTTCGGAGTTACGCAAAACTGAAGAAAGATGATCTAGCTATGAACAGATTGTAGTATAGATTAAATGTCGTGTGTGAAAAGAAATACGACACCGTGTCCCGTTGTACTCTTTTATATTATGTAAAAATGAAGGATAAAAAACCACAGTTTCTGTTTACAAGCATACATCTATTTGTTATTTCAAGAGACTAGGTAAAGAATTATCACGTCAAGATGAGAAAGAAACGATAAATAACACACCTACCCGTAGTAATATTATCACCTGTCCACCAGCTTCTTTTTTCCCTAAGATTAAATAGCGAGAAATATTTAAATTGATTTTTTCCCTTTCCTTCTGTTACCACCGCTACTGAGTATGAAAGACTTATATATTTAAATATTTATGAAAACCTGAGTTGAGACTACAACAACAACTATTACCACTGCTACTGCTACTGCTGCCGCTGACGCTACCACACTACAACTACTACCACCACCACCACCACCACCACCACCACTTCAAGTATAACAGCAACATGGGACTTAAAATATCAAAGTCCCAGCGACAGCATCAGCGGAAGAAAAAACAGCAACAGAAATCGACTCCAAAACACGAATAAACAAAAAACAACAGTAAAAAACAACAATAATAGCAAAAGCAACAAAAAAACCAACAACTCAGAAATAACGAGAACAATACACCGCCACCACCAACAACAGAAGCAATCACAGACACACTCACAGCAAACAAAGAAAAACATCGATATAAAGAACAACCACTACAGAGGCAAAAATGTTAGAGCTAAATATTAGGAAGTACATGTATAATAAAACATAATAATAAAAAACACATGTATGGATATAAAGGGCGTATCTTGTATATATAATACACACGGACGTGCTAAAGTTGATTAAATAAGTATTTCTTGAAAATATATTCTTAAATATTGACAATTTTGTTTTTCTTCTTATAGCCAGTGGTATGGAATTCCAAATAACCATGGCATTAAATTGGAATATGTCATTAAAAATAATTAGTACGTGGTTTGTAAGACGAAATGAAATTTCCGTGAGATATCGATCTTAGATTATATGTTTGATTGTTTGATACAGTAAGTAAGTCTCGGATATATTGAGGGGGACATACACGTAATTGTAAGAGATTTTTTACCCATTTATAGTTGTATTTTGTTTTGTCGAGATCGGATTGTTTTGTTAAATGCTCGTGCGAATATGTCCTGTATAAATCCACAATAGCAAAACATTTTTTCTTCTCATTTTGGTGTTAGTTAACGTCTTTTATTTGTTTCAATTTAGAATCTAGTTATCTTCTCTAATGTTACGCTTCAATACATAAATGTGTTGCAAAAATATTGATAATTATTTGATATAATAGTTTTACAATTTGACAATATAACTGATGATTTTTTTCCGATTTAATAATAAGATAAGCGGAAACTGACGGCTGTGACTAGTTAAACTGACGTAGATTGCCGAATTGACAATATTTACGTAAAATGACGACGTTTGACGCATTGACATGGCGGAGTTTCTCGAATTAATAAAAGACATATCCCCGCTTGTAAACAACAACTGCTCCGTGGTGGAGATCGAAAGCAAGGAAAATTGACCATATTTTTCTCAAAATTGCATTTCCTTGCAGGATCATACGTTAACCTATTAAACGTAAACAGACAGATCAGTTATTTCAGTGTATTTTCTTGGTAAACATTAATTTTAACTATCATATGAAAACATTTAACTATCATATGTTTAATGTTGCATTCTTTAGACATTAAGATCACAGTTACCGAGACGGTTGGATTGGCCACGCCTCCTCGCAAACATATGTATCATTCCGTTCTGTCACATGACACTTCAAAATTGAAACAAAACTAACAGTTCATAGTATGGACACTTGAAAACTGCTTTCCACTATCACACATTTTTGTAATAAATTCTCTGAACAAACACTTTTTGTTACTTTGATGATGTTTTCCGAGTCAATATAAAAGTTGTCCTTACATCGTCTGCGTTGGGCAGACACAGGTGTTTAAAGAACCTCAGACGCTTCACTGTATACTAAAGGGGGAGACATGGGACTTTAATGACCCTTGATCATCTTTAAGGGCTCGTTATTGACTAGGAGTTAAATACAGGACACGTGTTTACACGTACCTATTACCTTAGCATGTTAAGTTTCAGATGGGTGTATAGGTATC